GTATAAAATAATAAAATAAAAATTTTCTTGTTATGATTTTGTAGAAAGAGATCTACTTGAGTGGTTGGCTGGTCTTGAACCTGGTCAGCATGGATATGGTAATGAAGGTGATAGGGCAGAAAGTGGTGACCAGTTAAGTGATCAGGATAGGCCTACTCTGGGGCGGTAAATCGCCTTAAATCGCTGCGATATAATGCGATTTTGGGCGATTTTAGGCGATTTAAGCAAAAACTGGGACTTTCAAGCACTGCGATTTAGTGCGATTTTAGGCGATTTAAGAGAAAAATTTTAATTTTAGGGATTGCAATTTAGGTGTTTTCAAAGGAATTGAATTCTATATTTTGCTCCGGTTTCCTCCCACAGGGCAAAATTGGCAGGGTGGGTTAGGATTAACACAGTTAGGAAAGTAATATCATATCCTCATTGTTGTAAAGATAAATAGTCTAGGCTAACATAAGTAATCATAGTACTTGATGTAATCGACTAATCGATCACTGAAAAGCCCCAATGTGGGGAGTGAGCTGAATAATAATGTAATGTTTCCACACACATATGCATTGTATGAAGCAAAATACAATTATTAGAACATGTATGTACATTTTATATAAAGCTAGGTTAACTATTGTATTTAACCTGATTCACATATAAAGCTCAATATTCATGAACTTTTCACCCATTCTCTCTATTTAAAAGCCATTGGGGTTCATCTTGGGGGTCATAGCAGGGTGTTAGCTAGCCCATATGCTGTCCGTTTGACGGACTCTTCCCAATTGAGGGCTTTCCCAACTGGGTCTACTGGAAAATTAGCATGTGTCCCCCAAAATTTTAATGGTCGGGCGAAAATCAATGCGAAATTGGTCTAAATTGGGGAAATTTTTAAATTTCAATATTCTGTGAAAATTTTTCGGATTTGGCGGAAATTACGGAATATTTCTTTGATATCTCCTGAAAATTTTTTTTGGTGAACCCCCCCCCCCACCCCTCCCGCTCGCCAAGAATTGTGGGGAAAATATTCAGCTAAGTCCAGTTAAAACTTTCCCAATTTACGTTTAACGGACAAAATTTTTTTTCTGGCTAACACCCTGCATAGCTACATTTATATACACCACAAATAATGTAAACAGTTACTTGTAAACTTAAGGGGCATGCACTACACATATCCAGTTAAAATTGCAAAATATAATAAATATTTGATTTCCAAAAAAATCACAAGGGGTAGGGGGTAGAAACACACAAATAAGTGTATTTGTACAGTATAACTGAATAGGCTATAATCCCATAATTTACCTTGTCACCCTTGTAAGTGAAATTGTCTTGGTTTGTATCATGTCAAAACTTCTTTATTTAGCTTGCATTTTATTTAAACTGTTTCAATCTCGTGCTTTCTTCATGCTACAAACATATTTTAATATAATTTTTTTGATATCTACATCATATGATATCCCAGTGCCATATCCAGAAACAGTATCGTCACGCATTCGGAAACTGTCGGCGTAATGCCGTAATGTTTAAATTACATGAAGTATATCGTATATAAATGGTAGGAATTCTAAATTATTTTAAAATTAAAACCAAAATAGTACAGTGTTAAATGTTAAACAAATGGCGCACTACATCGTGGTTTTAGGTTCCTGAAACAAACAACACCAAAAGATCTATTGTATGGTATGTAAGATGTAATCATTGTTTTACTGTTTATTGTATATACAGGTCTGGAAAATTTAATAGACGAGAGTTGCAAATCGCTCATAACCTCACGTATATTTTTCGTTTGATAGCCACTATAATTATAACTAGGAGCTAGAGTATAACCATGCACATGTCGAAGTACAACCATTGTATACAATGCAGTGCTCTATCTTACATGCAACAGTGCACAAATTACCCGATGACTTTATTATATAAATCAACACTCGTACTCATTGACTTTCGTAGTTTCCTACTGTTGTTCTAATGTTCACATGTGTCTGCGATGTGTCGGTGGGCTATTGTCTTAGCAGTTCAACCAAATAATTCACAAAAGAATGCATCAACAGCTGTAAACAATGACGTCGCAGGCATATCGCAGACATGTGAACCAGGCTTAACAGCAATGTAGCTAGATTATAGATTAATTTGTTGCCCAGCCTCCATAGTCCATATAAATTGTAGCCCAGCCTCCATTTACACCAATAATGAAATTAGCTCATTCTGGTAACTAGCTCAATTTTGTTGCTTGCAGTGTATCGGATCTATGGGTCTTTCAGATCCCAGAATTACCTAATTATTGTAAAGTTTGCATAAAGCAGAAAAGGCTCTGTTTTTGTCAATGACCGGTGCCTATTGAGTGACCAAATATTGTCAGCCTAATCCACTTATTTGATTGCTAATTCATGTTGCATTACTTTCATTGCAAAGCACCTGGATTACATGATTTGCCCGTAAAATAGCAGCAATTGATAAACTTGAGTACATGGACTGAATGTATCAAGCAGAATGCATGTTGGCGATTTTAAGCGATCTTAGGCGATTTTAGGTGATTTAGGAGAAATTCGACAATTTTAACCCGCGATTTAGTGCGATTTTAGGCGATTTAGGGCGATTTAAGGCGATTTACCGCCCCAGAGTAGGCCTGTCCACTGCGTAGGACTGTGACAAACGTTTACGGCGTCACTGTCATCAGAAGAAATTCTGCTCTCTTTGTGAAGCTTCTTCAGCTGGGCTCTGGGATGGTAATCATCTGGCTCTCGTTCCATGCCGTTACTGTTCACTATGGTGTTTTATCTGGAGGCAAATAATGAAGCTCTGGCAATTTGCTAATGTCAGGAAAAGGCCTAGGAGTGCACAATAAATATTCATCTGCTCGATACTCTTGGTACATTTCACCACTAGGCATAGATCGAAATGATACTGACATTATCCAGTTTCGAAAAGTAGTTGTGGCCAGGAACTTGGCTTTTCAATTTTTCTGAATTCGCCGATGTATATGCGTGAAGGTATTTAGTGTTGAAAAAAACTGGTTAGCTACATTGCTGGTAACTAAGGCTTTCATACAGTCACCTCCTGGGCCTGGCTCACCATCAATCCTTGTCGCAATATCATGTGAAATTCTCCATGCTTTGCGCTTCACAGCATCTTCTTCTAGCTTCTTTATTTCTTAAACTGACAATAAGTAATCTGTTCGGTATTTAAGCCATCAGTTACGTGAAAATAATTTTATTTGATCGTTTGACCAGTAACTAATGCCTCACCTATTGCAGCATTAGATCGCTCGGCTTCGTTTTGCCCAGAATCATGCGGAGCACGGTGAACCCTGTTGAGGTGAGTCACCAATTTATGCGAGCCATCTCAATATCTCTGTATTACACTTCCACATTGGAAACGCCGACCCCAGGACCGGCATCTGTGGCTTCAAGAATGTAGTTATACAGAGGTGGCAAATGAAGTTGATTTATGAACTGTAGTGTCTTGTGGCTTAGTTCAAGAAGTGATTCGACTTGTGACCAGAATTCGAATGGTTCAGTAGGGGTTGCTGAGAGTTTCTCACTAGCTTCTTTGATGCTCTGTACTTGCACAAGAAGCTGAGTTCCTTTGGAAATGTCTTCTGTGCATGATAGACGGAATGGACAGTCTGGCTCATTTGACATGCACAATACATCACTTTTGAGTGTGCAATCTTTAAAATAAAATAAAATATCATGGATACATCGACAAAGTTTTCGGATTGGAAGGGCAGATGTAGCCTCCTCCGCAGGCATCTCACCCGACGAATCGGGTGGTGGGAAAATGTGTGGTGAGATGCCTGCCATAAATTGACACAAAAATTTGCACTGCGCATATCGGCTCGCGCATGCAAATTTCGACAAACGCAAACTTAGGGGGAGTAAGAAGGGCTTACAGCAAGGAGTGGAGAAATTTTTGTTTTCAACACGATGGTTTATAAAAGACGAATAACTATAAAGTTAACGAATAATACTGCTCTTTAGCATTGTAAATACACAGGGAACTTTGACTAAGGAGCTGAGAACGTAAGCGTGAGCTGAAGCAGCGATTTACTGGGATTGTTTAGAGACAACGACTCAACGAGTGACTTTCCAGAGCAGCGAATTCACGTTGTCGTCGATTCATGTCAAGACAGGGTGTCAATTGAACGTTTTAACGTTGATATATACAAATTTCTACTCAACTTGTTGACGACATTTTATATCATAATATTAAAGCTGAAATTGCAGTGATTCATTCGAAATTATAACACGAAAAGGAACGAGCAAAAATTGTCCATATATAAAATGTAAATTCAACTGTTGACATCTGTGCCTTCGGTATCAGTTAAATATATACCTCTTGCCTTGTTTTAATGCGCTTGTATGGAAGGAAAATCATTAATAAAAGTCTTTAATAAAACAAAGAGGTTTTTTATATTGTGGAATACACTGTGCAATTTATCCCTTGGACAAAGACAAAGTTTTCAAACTTGAGTGTCTTAGATAATAATGGCCCTGTTTTATATATGAGTGTGAGTAATACCTAGACATATATAATGGAATAGACATAAAGGAATAGAAAAGATAACTGGAATTTAATAGGAATTTAATAGTTTTGCAAGTGACGATTTATGTGACATTCATCTTGCTTGCCAAAGTTCACATGCAAAATATTTACATGGGTAAAATCCATCAATTTTGCAAGGCAAATTTCCATGTAAGTTGTAACCGTACAAACAGTCACTGAGGAAACTTCCCAGTGATAGCTAGTGTTTTGCTATTGTTACATTACACACTACACAGCAACCACTCTGTGCCAATTCCAATTATTGAACTATATATTAAAGATGCGGTACAGTCCGATCTGCGCATGTGCACAAAGGAGCCCTATTTATTTACAAACAGTTTATTTAGGTTTTTATTTCATTTTATGTTCTTGCAAAGCTTGATTGTTGTCTCTTAATAATTTATTATACTCTAGAATCATGAAAATATAAATAGTTGTTGAATAAAATTCAATATTTTGCATACAGAAATGTAAACAAAGTCTTACAAAAATGAATACATTTGGTAAGCTTTACCAGGGATGGATCTGGCATGATCTGATAGGGGGGATGCTCTGCCAGCTCTGGTGCTGAGTTGTGTCGGTCATGTGTGCTGCCAGCCCATCAACTTGCTTCACTACTGCAAAGTCTTGCTTGACTACTGTATTTGAATTGTAATTGTTGTTCACAGTTTGCTTATCATCATGTTATTACTCAAATTACTGTATCTCATTTTGTCTCTAATAATTTTTGCTTATCATGAAAAATAGCACCTCTGCACCCACTCTGGCCAGGGCTAGGGGGGGGGGCAACCCCCCACCCCCAGTAAATCCATCCCTGAGCTTTAGATTAACCCATTATCTGCACTCTCCCATTGAAGAGTAAAATTGTCTGATGTTAGACAGAGTGAAAGCAGGCACTCCCCTGTCAGGGATGAGACAACGAGAACTTGTTGTGGGCCCCTGGCATTGTAGGCTCTTACGTAAAAAACCTAGATTTACTATATTTTAATTAAACCAATATATGTCAAGAGCAATTTTATTTGAAAATGAACAAGGGAGATACTGTACATATAATTAGAGAATATGCAGATACATCATAAATTCTTTTATTTATCAAATCATGGATAATGTCATGTGGCCAGTAAGTGTAACACAACTAGGCATATATTATATTAGAAAGAGGTTGTTACATGTGCCAACTGCTTTTCACGGGCATGGTGCCACAATGCAACTTAATGGATTTAGCATATTTACATGATATTAAGGGGGTGAGGGAGTTAAAAAACCGCAATTCCAATTTAACTATTCAACCAAGTGAAGCCTGGTTCACATATACCTACGGTACGTTGGCAGGCTATTGTCGTTAGAAGTAATTCGCAAAAGATCGAATGTATAAACCAAATAATTCACAAAAGAATGTATGCATCAACAGCTGTAAACAATGATAGTGCAGGCATACCGCAGGCATATGTAAACCAAGCTTATAATTTATTAAGATGCCAACAAAATCTTGATGTTCGTAGTAATCAAATTTCTGTATTTGATATTTCTCTCCTCACTTATTGAAATGGTTGCTTCAACAGAAGGATCTTTGCCTTCTATATATCAATTCACTGAGCATGTTGCCAAATGCCTGATGATTTGACTAAAATTAGTGAAATAGAATCAAAATTACAACCCCTTTTAATACTGGCTTAGGCATATCAAAATATTATTCCAGAAAACAATACAATTTAATATAATCCCTTTATTAAACAAATTATACCTTTAGTATCGTTCCATTCGATCTTCGTTTTGTGTTCGAAATTATGCCAGATAATTTCCTCAAATTGTAGTTCCTCGGCTGAACAATTGAGCGGAACTCTGAATCCATACATTCAATACATATTTGTAGACATAATTTGTAAACACTTGGCAGTCTTGGCTGCTTCGAGGGAGCGATTCAGAATTTGCACGTCGTTTTTAGACCGCGAGAGACATTGCGACATATAATCCTTTCAAATGACCAACTAATTTTCGTATAGCTTGAATATTTCGACGCATTATAAAACATTTTTAAAGTTTTTAATGTTTTTTAAAATCGCAAGCTTCGCTCCTCGCCCGAAGATTTCAAACTGAATATATAATAAGGATCAAAAGCCTACTTAGGGGGTGGGGTACATTGACACGGCCACAAGGTACATTGACACGTCCATTTTGTTCGATTTATGGCAGGCCTCTCTCCCAGAAAATTTTTTTTTCAAACCCATTCGCAGGCTAGAACCCATAGAGAGGCCTGCGGAGGAGGCTAGGGCAGATGTATGTTCGACATTTGTCTGGATGTCTTGCTGAAACAGCTGAGGAACTTCCCATTTGATTTTCAGAAGATCAGAGGCCCACACACTTCCAGAACTGCCAATAAAGTGCTTTGGACGGACAGTCACAACTGTTTGGTCTTCAGTATGTACAAATCTTTGCTCTTCTCCAATCTTTTCAACATTTCCTCTGATAAATCTGAACGAGGAAGGTGTCTGGTGAACTTTGGGCTCGCTATTAAAATCATGTTGTGGCAACTGTTTTGTGTTTTTGTGGGTCAGCAACATCAAATATCACACCCTTTTTTACATCTCGAACTCCCACATCAGTGCCAGGTCTTAGATAAGCTTTATCACTGTTATTGAAAATTTCAGCACAGCTAGCTACATGGCAACTGCTCATGCTATGCTTATATAGTCGGTAGCATGCATTGATTTGTTCAATTTCTTTTCAGCTAGTGCATGTTATTATCATAGCATGATCAGTTGCCGTAGCTAGCTAAATATATAGTTGTATAAATGCATGAAGTTAATTGTTAGTTTTTTTGCTATTTGATGTTAACGTATTGTCCTTGGGTTCGCAGTAATTGGCTAATCGCTGTTGCGAATACCCTGCCATATAGTCTAGTTAATTCGTTAAATTATTACTTTGTAACAACTGTTAATACTATCTGGCAAAGTTAATAAATTATCATCAAAACTGATTATTAAACTTTGGTTTTTATTTTTTGGCTTGAACATATCATGTTTCACATTAATTTCGAATTTGCGCGCGCTGGTGGTGTGTTGATATAGTTGAATGCAATTCTGTTTTGGGGGGGGGGGGGGTTCCGTGAACAAAACAGTGATTTGCCGCAGTGTAACTTGGCCGCTCTTGATCTTAAACACTTTGGTCTAGCCCGGTTTAACACGGTTGTTGCAGATTTTATCAGTTTCTTTCCTCTTCGAAATAGGTTGTAATTCGCTAGTGATAGAAAATGAGACTCTTTTATCATGTCGTCTTCCATGAGCACTACTTGTTTCCTCGATGCATTTAGCTATGAATTCCTCATCTCATGTCCAAAGACGTACTAGCACCCGCACCAAGCTTGCGTCGCTTCACTCTCCTTTCTTTCACTGTTGCCAGTGCAATTTGTCGTTTTCTTTGTTGATGTCGTTGTTTGCTTTTGCCATCAACTTGCAACATATCTTCTTGAATATTCTTACTTCTTTCTTGTAAACTCTCTTTGTCTGCAAGAAGATCTGCTCTTCTCTCTTCTGACATCAGGCTTTCTTTCTTGTTCAGCTTTTTAATTTTCAATTGCTTCAATATTTTCATTCAATTGTTCGAGCCTGGCTTTATCCTTTTCTTTGATTGTTTTTTCTGCTGCTATAACAGCATCTTCACACTCCTTGAATGCATAGACCGCTTTTGCCAGAAAATGCACAGCATTCTCAGGTTTTATTCCAAGTTCATAAACTTTCCTCCGTGATGATGTTGCAAAAATCATAGCCTTCAGAACAGACTTGTCATACTCGGTGTCCAGTGACTGCAAAACGTGTTTAAGAGTATCAGCATTTAAATCAAATCTTGAGAAACTTTCTTTATCTTCAGATTCAAGGCGTTCCAGTTCACAGTGTCATTCTGTAAAATAACGAAACGTTTGCCAAATAAAGTTGACACATAAACGCAAAGGCCATGCTCGTTGTGCAAAATATGATCTCTAAACTCTTTGTCTTCTACTTGTCGCTGAACAAAATCACAATATATACCATATGCATCCTCATATGGCAGGTAGCCATACGTTTTGTCCCCATCACATTTTGCCAGTAATTGTCGGAGAATGTACAATAATCCTTCCAGTGTTCGACTTTTACTGAGACATTTTTTTTGAACGATGAGAAGTCCTTCGAGTTCCTCCACGTTCTCATTTACGCGGCAAGTTTGGAGCGATTTTCTTACTTTATAGCCGATAATGTGCTTTCTGATCTATTGTTGCTTCTTTTCTCGGAAAAGCTCAGTTTCTTTGTATCAGTGATTTCGCAGTTTTCGGTTGACATTTTACTCATTCTCTGTTACTCATTAACTTTATTTCATGTGTCATTGGAATTTTTCGTCAGCGGATCACCTGAACCGTTATATCAATGAAACATGAAGTACTGCTCTTGTACCGCTTCAATAAATCAAGATGGCGGAACGAATAGATGAGATTTCGAACAATATTAAATATGCAAATGAAGATATCACAGTATTTTTAAACTATGCGGACTTGGAAAAATACAAAGATGTTTTTGAAACGTGCGCCTTGAGAAAGATCGATCATCTTAAAGATGTTCAAGAGGAAGACATGTACAAGTTCGGTAAGATTTTATATATTCAGTTAACTAAAGATCTTTCTGATTTTTGAACATTATTAAATCTGTATAAAAGTGTATACTGGCACAATTAACAGGCAATGATTATATTTTTCTTGTTGTTTTATAGGTCTAACAGAGTTTGAAGTTCGGCGATTTTTTCGAAGAAAACAAGAATACAGTATTAATCAGCGTGTTGGTGGTACTACAGTTAACGTTGGAGATACTATCTCGCCAAGTACGAGCAACTCTGACAAGGCGTCGCAGCGTTCCTTGAACCCATTGAAGCCGTATGTGTCATCTCCGCAATGGAAAGTGCCAGCAATGGGGTACGTACCCAACGCTAAAACTGAACGAGCTTGTTTTATGAACTCCCTTCTACCAGACTACTTTGATTCAAAATTTAAGCACTGCAGAAATGCCAAAGATTTTTCCATTCAGTTTCACTCCACCGGAAGGCAACTGTATCAGGTGAAACAGAGAATTGATAATTTTGGCAAAAATATCGATTCAGTATTGAATGCTAAAAATCCTGCTGCAGCAGGAACACTTCTTGAAGGAGATTATACTGTCATACCAAGTGATACTATTAGAATCAGGCAGAACATTAAAAGAGTCCAGAAAATTAAAAACCAATTAGAACAGGTGCTTCATGAAATCAAAGAGAAGGATGGGAAACTTTTTACTGTTTCTAGAAATTTTAAAGATTTTAAATTTAAAGGTGATCTACAGTCCGTATGTAAACAAAGCCTTTGTTTACATTTTTGTGTCCAAAATATTGAGCTTTATTCGACAACTATTTATATTTTCAAGCTTCTAGAGTATAATAAATGATCAAGAAACAACAATCAGGCTTTTCAAGAACTCAAACAATAGTTAAACTGTTTGTATCATAAAAAAGTGGGCTCATTTGTGCATATGCGCAGATCGGACTGTAGATCACCTTTAAAGAATCTAGATTTTAAATTTAAAGAATCAATTTTTTTCAATGCAACTCAAACAAACTATGAGAAGGCATGTATACAATAATTAATTGCAGTCTAATAACTTATGAACCCCCTTTTTTCTGGCTGAAAAATATGTGACCCCTGACCCCCCACTATTTCCACCTCCCC